CAAGAGGATGAGACTGGCACCTCCCTGAGGAATTCACACTGTTGTGGCTGGATGACTTTGGGAGCTGGGGTTTCAGTCTGGGAAGATTCTTGTTAGAGGTTGTAGCTAATAAAAATTACTGGACTGAATTTGAATTGTTTCTTGGAGTTCCTTGGGCTGGGCCAGACATCAATCTTCCTAGAACATCCTCTTGTTGCTCTCACGCTCTTCTGGGGGGCTAAGAAAATGTTTATCTCCCTGAGCCTGGCCTTCATAATTCCATTTCATCACAGCTTTGGACATGCGTATGCACAACCTAAGATGGACAGGCTCATTTGTTATTCATGGAACCACCTCATAATTCCCTTCCAAAAAGAGGCTCTGAAGCAACTGCCCGTGGCTTGCTGTAAAGAATTCCAGAGACTGGAGAAACTGGGCAATGGCAGGTGGAAAAATATGATTTAAGCCCAGGACAGGAAGAAAACATTAAAAAGAAACTCAAACTAGCTCCACCTTAACTCTCTAAGAGGAAGAGAAGGAAAGTGTTGTCAGGCTTTCAAGATTCTGTTACTAGAGCAATGATGGGGAACCTATCATACGCGTGTTAAGGGCAACACACCACGTTTTGGGTGACACATCAGTGTTCACCAACACCTGACAACAACTCTCCTCTCTGTTTCAGTTACCAAAGAAACTGAGTTTGTTTTACTCGTATTTCATTTTTGTAATTATTTGACATTTCTTTATATAACACATAGCACTGCACATGACTGGACTGTATTTTTTTAAAATAAATGAATATGTAAAGAATTTTTTCTCTTTTGTTCGGGAAGCGGGGGGGTGACAATCCAGCAGAGTCAAGTTAGGCATTCTCCAAATTTTTGACACCCTGAGCCCAAAAGGTTCACTGTCATTGTACTAGAGCCTGTATCACGAAAGTACAGTTCCAGCATGTCTGTTTTCTGACCCGGCCCACCTCAGAGGGCTGATACTTATTTCACACCGTGTCACACAACTGCAATTTATCACCTACTTTAGGCTGAAAGCATCTTCTTAAAGCTGCCTAGAGCCGTTCTGGAGTGAAGTGGCACCAGATCAAATAAAATAAATTAAAAACTAAATAATCAAAGCTAGCCACAAGGGAGCCTTCTGGTTTGGACCTGCAGGAACCCCTGGTGCCCCGTGCATGTTCATGCAACATGCAAAAGCCTGCAGACAGCTGACAGGGAAAGGTGCATGCCAACACGTTCACAGGTAACAAATCAACCCGTGTTGTCCACGTAACAGGCGCTCCCTTTGCGTGGCAGCCCTGTGGCTTGAACTTGACCCAGAAGGCTTTGCAAAACACTGACTTCCAGATAAATTCTTTGGCTGAGAAATCAGCAGAGAAAGGTCTTACCTCTTTACGCAGCTAGAAAGCGATATTGCTTCTTTCATGATCTAATCATTGGCCCTGGGAAACAGAACAACAGTGATAAAAAAAACCCCTCAGTTTTGGGAGCTCAGAAAGTTGTGCAACGTCTAATCTTCCAACGAAGCTTGTTTAAGCCGCTTGAGGCTACAAAGGCCGTGTTTCCCTCGAAGCATTTGCTGAGTACCAACAGAAAGCGGTTTGCCTCTTCCAGTGCACCAGGACTAACTGTAGGGAAAGAGATGCAGCATATTGCGCGACTCTCCCTCCCACTAAGAGCCAAGATATATTTATGCATTTGCTGATTTTACAACAGCTGTACATCGCTTCAGTACAAAAAGAACAACAGAATTAATCAACCATTTTAAAGCGTAGCATAATCTGCTCTGTGCAATGCCTTAAGCAGCATGATGCTACTCTGAAAATTATATTTTTGCATATATTTTGCATGCTTTTAGGCTACCAAAATGTTACACTAAATAAAAGCACTCAATACAGAATATTTTCAGTAGCTAATTCTCTGCTCCTTTCCTCCTTCCCTATATTGTTGTGAAGTGCATATACACAGAAATACGTAATAAGGGAGTTGCTATAAAACTGGCCTGTGCAGAGAATTCAACCAAATTTTATGCCCAAGTGCGAATAGGAGTCTAGCCAGGTTGGGAAGCTGGCAGTCCCAGGAAGGTGGCTGGGCCCTTAAACTGGCATATGGTCCTGGATAGTTAGATGTTGGCCTGTCCAAGGTAAACTGGGGTCCACTTTAAGGTTCATATTTTACAGGTAGTTGTCTGTAGGCTGCTGCGCATTAAAACACAGCCCTTTCTCTTTTGGCATCTGCTCACACAACTCTGCAAATGTTATATTTACGCACGCTATCTGTTCGTATTACATGCAAATATATACATATTTAGATACTGTATATCATACCAGATGTAGAGAGATAGATAAAAATAAAAATACACAAAATGTACCAAAAGTACCCCATAGACAACTTAGTATATAAATTACATTAAATGTTCCCATCGGTTGCCATTTTCTCCCAAACACCTTCCGCAGTTGTTTGACCCATAACCTTTGAACGTTCCTAAGGAACATTTTTCTCTGGGAAAAAAAGATATTAATTCATAAAACCTTGTGATTGGCCTGTGGGGTCTGACTTTTGGTACATCCTGTGTATTGTCTTTTGGACAGGGTGCCTGTAATAAAGCCAGTCCATAATAATAAACCTATCTATATATGTGTGTGTGTGTATATATATATATATATACACACACACACACACATGCAATATATCCCATTATAATTGCACGCAGCAATATATATATTCATTAGAGAGATAGATGAATGAACACCCCCCTAAAAACAAAGGGGGCCCCCTCCAAGCATTTGGGGGGGACTACCCAGAAAATGCATTTCCAAGCTCACCCTGGGTCACATTGTAACCCAGTTAACCCCCATCCAGGTCATCCCCAGGCAGCTTTAGCCCTGGCCAACTTCCTTAGGGACCCCCCCCAGCCTGAAACACACGAGGGGTGCGCCCCATTTTGCACACTTACGGCCCTGGCTGGCCCCCAACAGCCTCACGTGCCTAAAGCCCTTTCTTTTTTAAACCACTTGGGGGGCTCTCATTAGTAATCTCATTTCACCCCGCCCTCCAGCTCAGCAGACCCCGTTCTGCTCCCTCCGGCCGTGGGAGGGGAGAGGAGAAGAGAGAGCACTCTGCACATGTTCAGAGGCGCTATTTCCCCTCTCACCCAGAGCCGGGGGGCGCCCTGGGAGGAAGTGGGGAAGGGGAGGCGAGGAAATGGTTCTAGAACCACCTGAAACAACGGGGGGCGGGGCAGGAGCCCCCCAACTCCCGCCGGGGGACTTGCCGGCCAATGAACGCGCGTGCCAAAAAGGGAGGGAGCCGAGCCCGGCGGCCTCGAGGCTCCGGGGGCGGGGACGCCGGGAGCCAATCAACGGGCGCCACTCCCTTCCCCCCCCAATGAGGTGAGCCGGAG